AAGGTATGTTAGCAACTCCCAAAGACTCATGGAAGTGAATGTTACTGCTGCCAAAATGGACCGGTTGGAGCTCTAAGCAGACTGCACAGGCTATGTTGCTGGGCACGATATGACAGAGGTGGTTATTAACCTTGGGTTTGCTCCCATCTGGCCACAAACATGATTCACAAACATGAATGCTGTTTGCCTTTGGCTTCCCAAAGACCTCTTTAGGGAGACTAAGGCCTCTGAACTCAGGCTCTTCTCTTGAGTCTACAGCTATATTACTATCTATCAGACATCCCTACCTGGACATCCTATAGCAATCAAATTCAACATACAACTGTCTTTCTCCCTAAAACCTTTCTCCTGTGCTCCCTGCCTTGATTAGTCCAGGAATCATCTTAGACACCCTGGTTCTGGTTATGGGATCCCTCTAATTCACACATCACACACGCACACACACAAACCCATACATCCACACACTGTCAGTTGACAACTTTTATTCAAACTAATACTTAATGATTTCCTGAGCATACTGTTTTGTCTCTGCTTAGTGTCTATTTTGGTGGCTTACTTAGGGTGAACCTCACACATGCTGATTCAGAGAGTGCCCACCACCAGGTCTCACCTCGGGTCGCCATCATTTCTTCATGTGGACAATTGCAATGGACTGCTCGCTGGATTCTCTGCCCATAACTGCCTCTCTCTGCTGCAATATGTGTAAATCACTTCTCCAGTTTAGCAGGCCTCTGTTCAAAATTCCTCAATGATGCCAGATAGTCTGATTAAGCTCTCCTGAATTTTCTATAATTTATATGTATAAGCTTAAAATGAAAAGCTGATTTTTAAAAAACATTTTAAAAGTTTATGAATATTTATTGTCATTTATTCACTTATTCATCTAGTAAAAAGCAAGGCTGTGCACCTTTTGGGAGAATAAATCCCAGCCCACCAGCCTGGTCTCTTCCAGAGGGAGCCACTGCCTTCCTGACCAATCTTGACTGCCCATCCTCCTCTGCTACCTGCACAGTTCAGCGAGACTGACTACTTGCGTTTCACTGAGTGCATCCTGGAGTTTGATACCGCACGTTTTCCCATCTCTTATTCCCTTTGCCTGGAATGCTTTTCCCTTCCTCTGTCTACCTGACAAACTTCCCTCTGCCTTCAGGCGGACTAGGCATTGCTTCCTCTGGAAAGCCTGGACTCTCCCTTAACAGCACTTACCACCAGGCATTGTGATTCTAGGTTTATTGGACTGTGTCTGACCTGGACTGCGGCCTCTTGAAGGTCTTAAACTGGGTCTCCTATGTCTTTGGATATCCACCCCCACAGTTATCACTATTGCTAGAAGGTCACAGCTACTTGGTGATTATTTGTTGGATAGATGGATGGATGGATGGATGGATGGATGGATGGATGAATGGATGGATGGATGGATGGATGGATGGAATGATGGACAGATGGATAAATAGATGACTGTATAGATAAACAACCAACAAATTGGTTTCCAGTAGTACCTGGTCAACAGAACAGATGAGAACCAACTGGCCAGAGAAGTATAATATCTTAGAGCTGGAATCAAAATCTCCCTTGGGGAAAATAAAGATAAAGTAAGTCGAATCACTTTTAAAAATAACTAATGGAATCTGTCAACTTTTTCTGTCATGCCCAAAGTTCACCAAAAGGTCAAACTTTACTTTGGAGCTACTAATGGTAAGCAGCTTGAACTGGATAAAAACTGAGCTTATATCTGGGCCCCTAAATGATGAGATTTTAGCAATTTGGCTTTTTAAAAAAAAAAAAAAGACACTGTTTAATAAGCTCCAAATGTATGTATTTAAAATTTGAGCCCATTTTTAAATGGGCTCAAAAAAGGGCATTTTTAATGGTAGACAGCATTATGGACTGAATTGTTTCCCTGCAAAGTTCATATGTTGGAGCCCTAATCCCCGATGTGATGGTATTTGGAGTTAGGGAGGAATTAAGGTTAAATGAGGTTGTAAGGGTGGAACCCTAATTCAATAGGACTGACATGCTTCTAAGAAAAGGAAGAAACACCAGGAATATACACACACACAGAGGAGGCCATGCGAGGACACAGCAGGAAGGCAGCCTTCTGCAAGCCAGCCACGAAGAGAGGCTGCACCAGAAACCAGACTCACCAGCACCTTGATCTTGGACTTCAGTTTCCAGAACTGTGAGAAAATAAATTTCTATTGTGTAAGTTCCCCTACTATGTGGTGTTCCTGTGTGGTAGCCCAAGCAGACTAATACAGACACAGTGTAATAGAGTGGGTATTAGGAAATGTACAGAATTGGCTTTCAGTAAATCTCAATTGCTTGAACTATAAAATATAAAACTTGATGGGCTTCACTGCAGTGATCCTGTGTGACAGTTTAAAACGTAGGTGAAAAGACTTTGAAATGTATAATGTATTATACCAAGAGATGTCTTTGCAGTGTCCAAGGACAGGACACCATTTCTTGAGCCTACTGTGTGTCACACACATTCCTCTCTCTGACAAAGCCCACTAGAGTCCCTGAGGGGCAGTACACTTCAACCTTAGGAGTAAGGAAAACTGGTATACTTTACAAAAAGAACCAATTAGCACTTTCCAAAAGTCTATAAAATTTAAGTGATTATGTGGCAGAGACTGTTACAATAATTTGACTTCCCAACATTTATACAAAAAAAAATAGTTGCTTTTTTCATTCACATTTTACTTCAGAAATAAGATCTATCTTCAAAGTAGACTTTACTTTGTTTAATACCAGCATATATGAGCTGTGATCATCAGAAGGCTAAGGCCTAAAATGATCATTTAGACATTGTTTTTGGAAACAAGACTAATTATTTAATGTTTAAAGTGTTTCAAGCAAAAATATAGTAAAGTTTGTGTGAAATAAAAAGAGCCATGTAATCCTAGTACTAAGTCTATTAGTAACTCTACTAGTGCAGTCTCAAAAAACATTTTATTTAAAACATTTCATTTAAAACTTGCTTAATAAATTAATCCTGGAAAATATTAATTTCATAGATAGAGTTATATACTTGGCTAAAAAATTGAATGTTATATAAATTCCCTTCTCTGCACCTCAAAATACTTACAGAAATCAATATTTCAACTTTCTCTTCAATATGAAAAACGTGCGAGAAGTAATCTAGGTACCATGGTTACTAATAATTATCCTCTGAACCTATGGGAAATACATTGCTTTCATAAATTACTAATTATTTTTTGTTTTGAGGTATGTCTCTCTTGTTCATTAATACAAAGAAAAAAATTATATTCCTTGAAAATACATCAACATATTTCCTCAAAGCCTTATAAGACTATTAACTAACATACTAGTTTAATCAGTTACAAAAGTTACAAAAGGAAGTTACAATGACCCAAGAGATTGTATCAGGGTCGTTTTAATGATGGGAGAACTTTAGAAAGCATGAAAACTCTGCTTTAGGACAGAGACAGGAAACTACACGACTTGTAAAAGTAGAGACGACCAGCAGGAAACAGGAAGACAATAGAAAGCGTAGATGGAAGCTTACTGAATAGGAAAATTGTTCCTCTTGGGTCACCTCCTAATGATGGAGGGAGAAGGAGAGGCAGGGATTCAGTTCTTATTTTAAAATAAAAGAGTTTGCTGTGCCCAACCAGCAAAATAAGCACAGCCATTCGCACTTTTGGTGCCAGTTCCCAACATAAGGCAATGGCGTTTACAATTAAAGCAGGCAATAAATCTCCTCAATCAGTAAATACCTGTTGATTTTTTACCCTTCACTGGTTCTAAGGGAGCGGGTCATACCAGATAATAGTCCTTTCTAGTTGAGTAAGACTATTGTTTCTTGTTTGAGTTCCTAAAATACTCCTATTTTGGAAGGACTGCTTGGCAGGCATTTTATAATGTAAGTGAATCACATTAATTTTGTTTTAAGAGTTTTTCCAAATTAATATTTAGAACCCATCAAAACAGTGGAAACAGTTAGGGTTATAACAAAATCCAGTTTTGGAATTGCTGCAACAGTCCACCACAAAAGCATTCATTGGAATATTCCTTTTAAAACTGCAAAAGTCTAGAAACCCAGAATGTTTCTTATAAAATGGAAAATCTGAAAGCAACCTAAATGCCCCAAAACCAAGCAATGACTAAATCATGGTCCAGCCACACAATGTGATGTTCTTCATTCAACAAAGATCGTAAAGGGAAAACAGCAGCAAGGAAGTATTTGAAAAATAACACAAAGCGGGATTATATGTAGGTAATAGGTATGCAGGTGAAGAGAGCACACAGAAACAATTCCCCAACATGAGCACTTCCAGTGGCTGGGTGGTGATATGTGCTGCACAGGTGGGGGAGAGCAGGGAGGCAGTGAGAACAGGAGGCTGAATTCACAGCGAGTGTGGAATTACTATTATTTCTCTGCCCTCTTCCCAGTAGCAGGGGAGCCCCTGGCGCAGGCAGGGAGGGAGGGAGGGCTGCAGGATCACCTTGTAGTAGTCATATAGCAGGCCCAGCGCAGCAGCACTGTCCTCGTCCCCATTGATACTCATCATCGCCTTGGTGGCGGCCGTCAGGGGATTCTCCAAATACGACTTCCAGGCTTCATCTTCACTGGTGTAGGCTCTTCGGGTATTGAAGGGAGGGTCACTGGGCATGGGCACTAAAGCCACCAGACGTTTATTACTGTGAATGCAAGAGAAATGTGACGCTCATTATCAGACAAACATTCCTTTCCCTATTAAGAGTATACATTATTTGGTTAATTTGTACATCCCAAGAATGGAGAAGGGAAGCATAACCAGGGCGATGGCCACATTGCACTTATAAAGCCCCTGATTAAATTTTCCACCATCTATGAGAAGTAATAATCATCTTCAAAGGTTGGGTAAGTTTGTAAGTTGCTCTCCTTCAGACTTAGTTTTCCATATCCAGTCATTCTAGGAGACAAATCATTTTATTTGACTGTTCTTTATTAGTGAATATTAGACTAATTCTGGGAGGGAGCAGGTTTCATTTAACTCTCTGAGTTCTAATTATAAATGTGTATGAAACATTAAATGTAATCAATATGTTAGTGATTATTCAAAACTCTTCTAATTTAATCTACATTTGAAATTGCTAGCAAACTATAGACCAAATCAAGTCCCTTTAAGTAAAAACGGCAATATAAGCTACTTTGAAAACAAGGCATATTTTGGATAATCCTACATAATAAGGATACAAAACAACAGTAATGAGATAGACTTTATATGTGAATCCTGTGTTGCCACAGAATACTACTATATTTAAATGAGAAACTACAGGTAATACAATCATCATGGAGAGTGAAGAAAGTATCTGGAAAAGTTTCAGTGGAGACAGAAAGGGGTTGGAGGCATTTATTAATTTTAACCAAGCAAATTTGGGTAAAGGAGCACTTGGCAAGACAATTTCATAAGGAGGATGTGACAGTGACTCAAACACCCAAAGACCATAACAGTCCCCAGCAGCTCCGGGGCCGGGACCCCAGCTTCAGTAAAGGACCCTAGGGAGGCTCTGACAGTTGTCTTGGGGTCTCTTTGGCATGTTCGTTGAAGTGGAAACAAAAGGTAACAATGAGATATTGTATTTCAACAAACCACTTGCCATTTATAACAACATGACATGGCCAAGTGACAGGACTGGGGAAGGCAACATTTACACTGATCAATGGATCAATGGAAATTCAGCCACCCAGGGCTTTCCATGGTCCTGCCATTCTAAAAGAGGTCCCCTTCTGCTGACTCTTTTGCTGAACCTTCCAAAGGAGGAAGGTCTCTTAGTTCATTTTGTGATGGAGAATTGGTATGAGTTCTCAACAGAGACTGTGTTAAGCACCCTTTATATGGTGCCATGTGTTGGTGTGAGGTCAGAATACGACACTGTCTTTGGTAAGGTATATTTGGGAATGGGGGTGGGAAATCCACATTTAACAGAGTGGAATTCTAGGCTCGATAGTCTCTAGGCCCAATTTAAACTCTGTTACAGTGGTTTGGTGAAAATTATTGAGAAGAAAAAGAGAATACTGACCCAGTTGCCTACTAACCACAAGACAGTCTGGTGACATGGAATAGCCTGGCCCTGGAAGTGAGTCCTTGCCCACCACTTACAGCAGTGGAAAACTGGCTGAGTGTT